GATCAGGTTTTGCTGCCTCTTTGCATGTGTTGTAATCTTTGATCACTTGCCTGACGTTATGAATTTTGCCTTGTTGAACACCAGATATTTTTTTTAATCTGTATGATTGTTCAGGCAGGCTCAGAGCAGTGTTTAGTCTCGGGGTTAATTAATAATTTGCCACTACGAAGCCAAGACTTTCCTGAGTACCCTGCCCACTACCCTGTAACATTTTCCAGTCTGGCTGGTAGGAACAGGCCCTGGCCTTGTGTGAACCCTGGGCACACTACTCCCTCTAATTCTTCAGGTGGCTCTTCCCCTGGCCTTGGGTAGTTTCCTCCCACACACGTGCTGATTATTTCTCTGCTGAATACTCAGGGGAGCTTCTCGACAGGTTGTAGGGGTTCTCTCCAAGCAGCTCCTGCTTCCCTGTGTTCTGCTCTCCCTCCTCCAGCTGCAGCGCCCCGACCCTCAGCTCTGTTCCCTCAACTCCAGAGGTCCTCTGGGTCCCGCTTCACTCCCCCTGACTCTGCCTGCAATTTGGAAATTCTCCAAGCAGTAAGCTGGGCCATCTTAAAAGGACAAGCCTTGATTGTTTTCCTTTCTCTTGGGGATTTTACTGCTTTCATTACCTCACCGCTTGGTGTCAAGTGTTTTGAAAACTTTTATTTGACGTTACATTTGCCTGGCTGTGTTGTGGCAGTGGCGGCTGTTCCAGGCAGAGGGTAAACTCAGTCCGTGCTACTCTGCCGGTTGAGTCCCGAGGTCGTAGGTGTTTCTAAGAGCTCCCCGGGGGACTCCAGATGTGCAGCCAGATGGCGGCCACTTCACAGACCCCTTTTCTCTGCTTGAAATGTTTTTCTCAATCAAATACAATCTTTGATTAATTTCCTCCCCTATGTTTTCTCTGAAGCCTCTGTTATATGGCAATTGAATGGAATGATCCTTCATCTCGTAACTTTTCTTTCATATTCCCCATTTCTTTATCATTTTGCTCTACATCCTGAGAAATGTTTAAAACTCTTTCCTCCCATACCTTCCTTTGATTAACACCATTATTGGGGAAATCTGTAATTTCCAGAACTTCCTCTTTCTCTCCAATTGCAGTGTCTTCCCAGGAGCCGCCACTGTTTTATGGGTGCCTTATCTTATTTATTTGTTTCCTCAAGGGCTGGTTGTTTTGTTTCTTCATCCTGTTCCTTTTTGGTGTCACTAAATTAGTAAGAGGAGGCCACATGGTTCTTCTTGGCAGCTGGGGAGGTCTGGTTCCACAGGAATCTTATCCCCGGAATAGGCTGCAATCTCCATGGGCAGGTGTGTTAATTCATTAAAATACTTCATTTAGATCCGGGGTTCCTGTTTCCCTCCCCTCTACCTGCACGAAGTTGGTGAATTGGTGATGTCTGGAGACATTTGTGGTTGTCACAACTAGGGGGTGCTACTGACACCTAGTGGATAGAGGTCAGAGATGCTCCTACAGAAAAGAATTATCATTGGCCCAAACGTCACTAATGTGAAGGTAGGGAAAACCCTGATTTAAGGCCTTCTGAGATCAGGCTGCCCCACCTCAAAGCACCAAAAGCCAAGATAATGAGGGACGCTCCACATCCACCTCAGGAGTGCTTGTTCAGGATTGTTTGGAAGGGATCTCCAACTGAGGGTTCACGAGGCACATGTGGCCCACAGACTTGCTTCATTGGGCCTTTATGAATAAATCAATTAAAAGGTCTACATATATATACACATATGCTCACATACACTGAATATATGTGTGTGAGTATACATATAGTGGTCAATATTTTGGTTGATTTTACTTAAAAAACCCAGATTTTGGGCTTCTACCGAAAAGTCAAAAGGATGGACGTGATTGGTAGCACCGAGGGGCAGCTGCACCTCCAGACAGGCATGTGGTCTTTTCTCGCCTCTTTCTCCTGGTCCACATCACGTGTGAATTCATGACCCCTGCACTTTTTTGGGGGGGGGGCGGGGGTGCTGATTTTATCCTGGGGACAAATACTGACTGTACCCAGTGATGGCCATGGACTGGCTCTGAGATAATCTTTTAGCTAATCATCTTGTTTTCTGTTCCGTTCGTACTATTACTTTAGAATAATGGGTGAATATCTAGAGGAGGACCTTATCAGCTACAGATGGAGGTAGAGACTTTGGGAGCCACCAGAGCATGAGACAGCAACAGAAGCCATGGGCATCAGTGAGATTGCCCAGGAAGTGTGTTGAGGGAGAGAAAGCAGTCAGGGCTGACCTGAGGAAGGCAGCCAGCAAGAGTCAAAAAGGGTGGCCAGGGAGAGGGAAGGGAAGTCAGGTATGTGTGGAGTCACAGAAGGCAGGGAATAGAATGTGTCAAGAATGGGATCAAAATGTCTAATGCTGTCCACAGGAGGCCGAACAGCGCCCTTTGATAAAAAATATGCAGACTCTACCCTGACTGGTGTGGCCCAGTTGGTTGGGTGCTCATCCCATAAAGTGAGAGATTCCTAGTCGGGGCACGTGTCTGGGTTGTGCGTTTGGTCTTGGTCAGGGCATGTGTGAGAGACGGCTGGTGGGTGTCTCTCTCACGTCAATGTTTCTTGCCCTCTCTTTCTCTCTCCCTTCCCCTCTCTCTAAATATATAAAATCTTTTTAAAAATGCAGGCTATGATTTTGGTGAGAACAGTTTCTGTAGAAGGCTGAAAGTGTACAGAAGCTGTAGCAGGTTGCAGAGTGATGGGAATTTGAGGAAATGTGGACCGCTGGAAGAGACAGCTCTCTCCGGAAGTTTGTCTGTGCAGGAGGTAAGGAGTCATGTTATGTGGTGAGCAATGGTGAATTAGTTATTGGTTGTTTTAAGGTGGGAGAGATTTGTACTTGTTTATAGAGGAAATAGTCTGGCTTTGTGTGTGTGTGTGAGATACTGTGAATGTTATAACCAGCCAAGCACATCTCCACCATGAAACATCTAGAAATGCTGCATAAAATCAAGCAAACATCCTTTAAAATGCATAGCGGTGTTTCAAGAAAGTAAGGGGAATGCCCAGGAGCCACACAAAAGAGGAAATTGAAAACCAGAGCTGTGCGAGCGGTTAGGTAGTTGGAGAGTTTGGCAGTGAAGGGGCTTGGCTTTTACATTCACCTAGAGACTGGGGAGGAGGCCTTGCCTGGGGCATTGAACACAGAGACCCTAACATAAAGGTCACATGCTCAGTGAAAGAGTAGGTTAGAAAAAAAAATCTTCCTATCAGCCCGGGGAGCAAAAAGGCCCTTGTCTGTCTCACCCTGAGACCAAGGGCAATAGAAAGTCACCCCTGAGAGTTCATAACCAAAGGTTTACCCTCACTTGGATTTAGGGCTCAAGTTTACACCATGGTCTCAAAGCCCAAATAAAATGAACAAACAACATGGTCCAACTTTTTAATACCCCTGAAGCATCCTAGGCAGAGCAGACACAGAACCTCTATAGATATCCCCTCAAATTGACCACATGTGTTCCCACTAATAAGGTGCTGCTGAAACCGAGTTTATGGCCCCGAATCAGAAAGCCTAAGAGGAACCCATCTGTCACGAAAGAGTGTGAGCACTTGGAACTCCAGACAACAGAAGATTGGGTAAAGGACCCTACGGTAAGTATGTTTCAAATGCCTAAAGGTATAAAGGAAGGACTCAACATGAGAAAGTGATAAGATGGTGTTAAAAAGGAGAGGGAGAGGTCTAAAATAAAGAGAAAGGAGAAAGGGTAAAACTGATGCATCGCTTAGTCCACCCGCTTATTCATTCTGCTTTCCTTGGGCTCCTGTTATGATCTAAACCATGTTCTGGGTCTGGGAATATAAAGGTGACTTTGGGGGTAGCAAGTTGGACTCTACCTCAGGAAAATCACTTTCATCCACACATGCGTGTGTGCATCTTTCATTTTATACCATGCTAAGATTTCACTGCTAGAAAAGTCCCAATGGAGCACCTTGTTCAACTGCCAGCTCTCTTGTACAGAGAAAGAATGTGAGGCCCAGTAATATAAAAATCACTTTTCTGAAGTCCTCAAGTAAGTGAGTGATAGAGCCAGATTGAGAGCCAGGACCTTGCCTCCGGGGTCCCTTCCCCACTGTCCTGCTTCTGCTGAGCACTCGGTGTGCAGGTGTCTAAGCTCTGAACACTGTATCTCTGTCCTGTTTCCCTGGTGGGCTGATCACTCCCCATGGGCAGACTCCCCATAACCCCAGTCCTGTCACCCGATCGTGAGATTTACCCTCACCTGGATTTAGGGCTCAAGTTTACACCCTATGTCAAGTTTATGACAAGAAGTGACATAGTTACCTAGCTCATGAGTGACAGAGATGGAACAGGAACTCTGTCTTGTATCAGTTATTTGTCCCTTCCTATCTCACCCTCCACCCCCACCCCTGCCACTAGAGAGACTGCGAGCTCCTTGAGGGCAGGGGCTAGGTCTGATCCCTCCGCCTCCAGGGCCCGGCTCAGGGAAGGTGCGAGGACCATCTGCTAGATGAGTGCACCTGGGGAGGGGTCTCTCAGTCTAGAGCCTTCTCGTTCCCCTGCTGTTCCCTCATCTTCTGGCATCCACAGGGTGAGCAGAGAGAGCTGAGTGTTGGCCTCTGCCCAGCAGTATTTCCCTGGTGTGGGTGAACCTGGGAGGTCGCTGGCCCGCATTAGGTGGCACAGGGTCACTGCTCCCTGTGCAGGGCTCAGTACTTCCGGGGGAAGTCTCAGGGCGGCGCTAGAATGGCTAACACTTGCTGACTCATCCTGTCCTTTTTCAAGAAAGACCAGATCTTTGGGTCAGTGCCTCCGTCAGGGAACAATATCTACTTAAACTTAATATCTTTGTTTACAGTGTACTTATTTTCATGTTTTACTTTCTATTTATGGCAAGTGATACTGGTTTTCCATTTACAGAGGTGATACAAAAAATATTCCTTTTAAAATAAATTTATTAAGCAAATAGCAAACCAATTTAAAGAAAAATATAAAGTAAATAATAGTACAGGTGGTGAATTGATATGGCAAAAATCCTAACATTCAGGACTGTGGTTTGGAGTCCGACACATCTGGGAAATGAAAACTCCTTCGCCTGTCCCAGCCCCCCACCCCCACCTTTGCTCCTAAAGAGGAGGTCAGCTGATACAGAGGCCTACAGGGCCAAGGTCATTGGGGGGTTCCATTTCTCCTGCGTGGTGGGTTATAAGTAATCCTGCCGTGGGGGGGCGGGGTGGATTCTCTCTCTCTGAGCGCCAGCAAGCTAGGAGGGAAGACAGCCAGAGGCTGCATTTTGGGAGCTGCCCTGCCCTGGGACTGTGCTCCTTTCCCAATGGACCAACCTCTTATCTCCTTGGCCCAGGCCTCCCTCACCATCAGGGGTCCCCAAACGCCACCCTGCCCCCTGTCCCCAGCACCCCGGGCAATGGACGGGAACAGGTCCTTGGCCTGTTGGTGACTGGGCTGCACAGCAGGAAGTGAGTGGTGGGCAAACAAGCAAAGCTTCATTCTGCTCCCCATGGCTCACATTACCACCTGAGCTCCATTCCCCCTCCTCTGCTCCACCCCCACAGTGTGTGGAAAAATTGTCTTCCACGAAACTGGTCCCAGGTGCCAAAAAGGTTGGAGACCACTGCTCACCATGGAGGGGTAAGATCCAGAGGGCTGGCATGTGTCAGCCTTCAGAGGATAGACAGAGGAGCCTACTGGTTTTCTTTGACTCTAGGTCCCAGCCGAAGGTAAGAGAGGGCCTCTCCAGCGTGTCTCCCCAAGTTTGCTGCGGTGAGCTGGGGGTCACAGTCACAGTTCATGTATAGTAAGATGCTCCTTTGCCTGGTCTTGATGTCTCTTTATGTGCGTTCCCTGGAGGGATGGTTTGTGGCTCTGGGAGCTGGATTCCTGTCATCTCCTGCCAGCACAGCTGGCACACATCATTACCACACTCGGTCTGTTCTGCAGCATCTACGGGACCCCTTCCTTCTGATATTGGCCACTTAGATGCACAGTGAAGGAAGGTGGAAGCCACTGCAGAGATGCTATGTCATGCCTGTGTTGTACCTTGAATCCTTAATCAGAAAAGTGGCCTTGGCAGCTTCTGGCCCAGAGTTGACCGCATCTCCAGTTCACTGTACCACAGCCCCTCCTCCTTCCCCCAGGCAGCTAAGCAGAGGCTAATCTGAGCTTGGCCCTCAGCACAGGCTCTGTCCACACAAGGCTTGCCCAGACCCAGGTCCAACTCAATTGAAATCCAGATGTAAAAGGCCTGGGGCATTCTTCCCTGGCTTCAACTATCAGTTGGGTTCCCAGGCTGGAGCCTCAGGGTCTTAAGGTCCTGAGGCTGGGCCGTCCTCAGAGGTCTCTGGGAGGCCAGTCCTCCAGGCTCTGGGGATTCAGAAACCCACACTGGTCCGGCTCTCCCGCCTCCAGAAAGCTGAGATCTGCTCCAGGGTGACCCGAGGCTGGAGGCCCCACTCAGGATCAGGGCTACCTGGCCGCTGCCTTCGGGCCTGGGGGCTCCCCAAATTTGCGTTGGCCTCTGGCCTCTGTTCAGGCTCAGCCCAGCTCACCAGGCCTTGGCCGTGGGGCCTCCCCTCCCAGGCCTGCGGCCCCCAGAAGGTGCTTTGGGCTGGAGCCTTGGATGGAATCTGGGGGACTAAGGAGCTAGGAGGGGAGTATGGAGTTGAAGGGGCAGGTGGGGCTGTTGCTCGGGCCTCCAAGCTGCCCCCGGGGCTCAGAGGATCTGGGGCTTGGTCCATCAGCAGGGGGACCCCAGAGCCATACCAGTCCTCAGAGCGCTCTCGGGGTGTGCCTGTGGGCTCAATCCACAGCTCTCCTCCAGGGCGCCAGACCAGGGTGGGTGCGTGGTTGCTGGAGTCCGGTTGTAGAGAACGGCGGAACAGGCGCTCTGCCAGCACAGCTGTAGTGAGGAGGAAGAGGGCGGCCAGGGAGGCCAGGGCCAGCATGATGGGGATGCAAGGCCCACAGGGCAGTGGGGGCCACGAGGTCAGTTCCGATGCAGGGGGCCCCTCGATGTGCCCAGAGGGCTGCTCTGGAGTCCAAGGCATCTGGAGAGACAGGGGTCAGGAGATGAAGCACTACCGAGAGAGGGGGAGAGGTAGCAAGTGCCCAGAAAAGACGGAGTAGAGAAACAGGTCACGGGGCTGGGAATCTGGCCTGAGAAATAGACCCATGCAGGGGACAGGAGCAGAGAGAACCCGGAAAGGGCTAGAGTCGTCCGATGGGGTGAGGTATTGGGAGCACCGCCAGGCCTGCAGCCTGGCCTCCTGCTCAGAACCCCCAGGCCCCTCCTAGAAGCCCCATTTCCCTCCCCGTCCCCAGGTGCCTCAGACAAAGCTCTAAGGATCCCAAGGGCATGTGTCCTCCGTCTCCTCAGTCCCTCAGGTCTCATTGGGCCTAGAGAGGAAGTGGTGGATACTGTTCCCGGGCATTCCCACCTACAGCGGCTCGCCTCAGTCTTCTGTCTTGGGCTCCTCTCTCCCTTCAGAGCAGCTCTTCCTTGAGCCTGCGGGAGGGTGCAGAGCAGCGCCTCAGATGAGGGCGGAAGGGAGGGCACCACCTGTTGCTAGGCAACTGTGCCCCAACTCCCCTGCCCTGAGGAGTGTTTCCAAGGCAACCTGGGGGATGTGGTCACTGTGGTGAGCAGGCGGGTTCCTGGCAAGAGAGGTGGGGCCGGAATGGGCAGTGGCTCTGTTGAACTTAGTGTCACCACATAGTCAGGCCCCAGAATATTCACTCAGAGGCCGGGGAAGAGGAGACAGAGACTCTGTCCTGTCCATGTCCTTTCCCCACCCCCTCCACCCTGGCACCAAGGCGTCTCCCTCTCTCTGTTCTGCTCTTGGGTCAGGCTGTTGCCCTTACCCTCTCCTGCCCACTGAGCCCCACCAAACCTGTTCCTGCCATCCAGCCCCCACATACCCTCCTGTTTCAGCTAGCCTTCTCCACACTTTTCATGGACATCTATCTCCATGTCTTCAGACAGTTTAGCCCCAGTTTTTGTTAGACAATATCTGTGAGGTGAGGCTTAGGTGACAATATAAAGGCTCTGGGAAGAGTCTAGGGTCAAAAACAGTCTTGGGCATGTCTCTGCCAAACATTGGCCATCTCGGCTCCTGGCTCCTGTTGCCGAGGGTCAGGGGAGCCTGGGTCAGGACATGGTGGAGTGTCATCAGCTCCTGGATTGGAGTCCTTTCAGATTGTCTAGTTTGACCCATTAATTGACAGATGACAAGTAAGCCCCAAATAAAGGAGATGTCATGCCCAAGGTCACACAACCCATATACGGAGGAGGGACGGGGGAAGCATAGACATAAATTCCTGGTCTGGCAAGCTCCCTGAACATAACACAACTCTTACTAGGTATTAATATTTTGCTTTGCAAAATGACAATGTGAAAGGCTACAAAAATATGTTGAAATGTTAGTGTCTTGCAAAAGGTGATCACAAGGGCAGTCTGACTCAGATCGTTCTGCCCTGGTGGTTTTGAGCAAAGGGCCGGAAGGAGCACAGAATGCAATAGGGGGTGGAAGTCGGCGGAGATGAGGAGCACCGTGGTTCTGGGCCTTGTGACACGCAGGAACCTGGTGAAACTAGAATTTGAGGGGATTATAATCCTTAAAATCTGAACTTCATACCACTGAAATGAACACTTAAAAATGGTTAAGACAGTGAATTTAATGTTATATGTATGTATGACAATAAAAAGTATTTTAAAAAGTCCATGTAAATAAACAAATAAGACCTGAAAATTATTATGCATAGTCTCTTTCAATGAGTCTTCCTTTCAATAAAAATAAAACTAAAAACAGTAGAAGGGTAAACATTATTAAAAACCAGAAAGGTCACACTGGCTGGTGTTGCTCAGTGGATTGAGTGCTGGCCTGAGAACCAAAGGGTCACCAGTTCAATTCCCAGTCAGGGCACATGCCTGGGTTGCGGGCCAGGTCCCCAGTAGGGGGTGCACGAGAGGCAACCACACATCGATTTTTCTCTCCCTCTCTTTCTCCCTCCCTTCCCCTCTCTCTAAAAATAAATAAATAAAATCTTTTTAAAAAAGCTTAAAAATTTTTAACTGGTTCCTCAAGAAGTTAAACATAGAATTACCACATGATCCAGCAATTATACTGTACCTATTCTATGTAAGGAACTGAAAGCAGAGACTTAAACAGATATTTGCATAGCAGTGTTGTTCACAATAAGCCAAAAAGTAGAAACAACTTAAATGTCCATCAGTGGATGAATGGATAGACAAAATGTCACACACACACACACACACACACACACACACACACACACACACAGTGATATTATTCAGCCCTAAAAAGAAAGGAAATTCTGACACATTATAAAACATGGATGACCTTCTAAGACATTATGCTAAGTGAAATGAGCCAGCCATAAAGGACAAATATTGTATGATTCTGCATATATGCAGTCCCTAGAGTAGTCAAACTCATAGGGACAGAAAGTAGAATGGTGGTAGCCAGGGGTTGGGGGAGGGGGAGAAAGGGCAATTATTATTTAATGGGTACAGAATTTCAGTTTGAGAAAATTAAAAAAGTTCTGGAGATGGACAGTGGTGATAGTTGCACCACAATGTGAATGTGCTTAAAGTCACTGAACTGTACACTTACATATCATTAAAATGGTAAACTTTATGTTATGTATATTTTATCACAGTAAGAAATTTAAATGATACTATAGAAAATTGAAACATAGAGAAGAAAATTATTCTCCATGATCTCCTTACTCCCAAATAAACCTGTATTTTTTTTAATAGGCTCTGTAGGGTGGGTATCAGAATCCATGTGTCCTGACTTCCAGGTTTCTCCCCACCCCCCCACCCAAGAATTTCTGAAAAAAAGGAATCATGAAGGTACTCAAGGAGTGTGTGCAATAGAGAAGTCTCTGGGACAGAAATCTAGAAAACAGGTCTTTGAGGGTGTACGTTCTGGGTTGTGAGGTGGGCCAGGGGCTGGTTGTTTTGGGATGAGCTTGACTGTTATTGGAACCAGCGATAAAAAAATTTATTTCTTTGTACACTAGGCAGCTGGCTGTGTGACACTGTGTGCAGAGTTCTATCCTTGGTGCTATTTGCTCCTAAGTCTATGTGGTGGTTTTAAAACATGTCTGCAAATTTCTTGACATTCATATCCTAAGATTGGGTTTACTCCTTGCCTCTTGGATATAGGCTGGCTTTGGTGACTCACTCTAGTGGAATATGGCAGAAATGACAACATGGCTTCCAAGGCTAGTTTAAAAAAAAAAAAAAAAAGGGATACAGCTCCCATCCGGCCTGGGTACTCTCCACCCTGCCTCAATGCACACCCTTGAAACCCAGTTGTCAGGTGTGAGGAAGTCCAGGACACCTGTAGGTGCCCTGGTTAAAGTCCCAGCTAGAGTCCCAACTGACAGGCCGCTACCCAACCCCTTCATGAGCAACTCTTCAGATGACCCCAGCCCCAGCCTTCCAGCCACTTCAGCTAATGCCAGGTAGAGTAGAGATGAGCTAGCCCCCTGAGTCCTGCCCAAAACATGGATTTATGAGAAAAATAAATATTGCTGTTTTAGGTCATTAAGTTTTGGACTGGTTTGTAACACAGAAATAGATAACTGGAACATTCTGTGTCAGTGGTTCTTACCAGATGAGTAAGGACAGTAGGGCCTTCTCCAACATTCACTCTATACTTCTATCACCATCCCTCCTTTCTATTACACTGTTTTAGGGTCTGAATTGGGGAGGGTAAAGTAAGGAAGAAAACAGCAGCAACAAGGGTGCTGGGTTGGTTAAGAAATACCACAGGTGATTCAGATATGCCCTCCCCCTTGCTGAGACCCACCAGCCCTGTTCTGTCCAATATAGTAGCTATTAGTCATGTGTGGTTCTTCAAATTAATTCAAATAAGATAAAATCTTCAGTTCTTCAATTTCATTAATTACATTTTAAGTTCTCAGTTGACACATGCAGCTGGTGGCTATTGCATTGGACAGCACAGCTACATATGTTTCCACCACCACAGAAAGTTCTGTTGGACAGTGCTGTGTTAGAACCTCGCTGCCCAACGTGGGCCGAGGACCAGCAAGGTCAGCATCACCTGGGCATTCACAGAACACAGACTCTCAGGCTCTTCCCAGACCTACTGAATCAGAAGCTGCATCTTAGCAGGATACCTGGGTGATCTGTAGGCACATGAACGTTTGAAAAGCTTGGAACTAGCCAGAAGTCCTCAGCCTTGGCTGTACATTAGAAGCAACCAGAGAGCTTTTTAAAAAGACTGAGTCATCTGAGGTGGGTGGGATGGGCATCCCTTTAACTTCTCTAAAGTTTTAGGTGATTCCAATGTACAGCCAAAGTTGAGAACCACTGCCCTAGTCTGTATCTCCTGGAGGGTCCACCAGCTTCTGCCCTGTAGTGGGCACCTGCTGGATTGACCAGTGCCACTATTTGATGACTTGTCTTTCCTGAATGGTTGCAGTAAGAGCTGTTGCATTTGTGCAACGTCATCCTCCCCCGCCCAACCCTGCAATCTTGAGTTACTGGGTTGGATGCCTCAGGCATGCTAGACTAATTACTGTAGTTCTTTTCCTTGGAGATTTGAAATTGAATGACTCTCTGGATGACTGAATCTGTTAGACATAAAAGTTGGGAACCCTGCCCCATCACTTGAGCCAGAGAAGTGGAAGAAGCCAGCCCAGCATAGAGGAGCATTGGAGAGAGAGATTTCTGATGGTGTCTGGGTTTCTTGTTTCAGTTCCTTCCCAATGCTCAGCTATATTCCTGTCCTTGGGTTCCTGTATCTTTATAATAACATTTTCCTATGTGCCTAATAGTTTGGATTAGGTTTCTGTGACTTGTAACCCAAATAGTGCTAATTTATAAAATCCTGGATCTGTTAACTATGTTTCAGAATAGAATTTCTGACTAGATTCCATAGATAACTCAAAGTTAATAAGTAAAAAACAGCTTTATTACTATTGTACTGCATAGCACATTTCTTTTTTAAATTATATTTTATTGTTTATGCTATTACAGTTGCCCCAATTTTTCCCCTTTTGCCCCACTCCACCCAGAATCCCCCACTCCCTCAGACAATCCTCACATCATTGTCCATGTCCATAGGTCATGTGTGTAAGTTCTTTGGCTACTCGATTCACTATGCTGTATTTTACATCCCCATGACTATTCTGTAGCTACTAATTTTACTTCTTAATCCCTCCACCTTTTTCACTCATCCCCTCCACCCACTTCCCATCTAGCAACCATCAAAATGTTCTCAGTGTCTATGATTCTGTTTCTATTCTGCTTGTTTGTTTATATTTTTTAGATTCAATTATTGATAGATATGTATTTATTGCCATTTTGTTGTTCACAGTTTTGATCTTCTTTCTCTTCTTAAAAAAAAAGACCTTATAACATTTCATATAATTCTGGTTTGGTGGTGATGAACTCCTTTAGCTTTTTCTTGTCTGGGAAGCTCTTCATCTGTCCTTCAATTCTAAATGATAGCTTTCCTGGGTAGAGCTATCTTGGTTGTAGGCCC